GGAAGCTCTTTATGTCACCATCTATTTTGAATGATAGCCTTGCTGGATATAGTAATCTTGGTTTCAGATCCTTGCTTTTCATTACCTGGAATACTTCATGTCATTCCTTTCTGGTTTATAGAGTTTCTGATGAAAAATCAGCTGGAAGACTTATGGGAGATCCTTTGTAGGTAACAAATTGCTTATCTCTTGCTTCCTTTAAGATTCTTTGTCTTTAATTTTTGGCATTTTAATTATGATATGTCTGGCATGGGCCTGTTTTGGTTCTTCTTGCTTGGGACTCTCTGTGCCTCCTGAACTTGTGTGACTTTTTCCTTCACTAGGTTAGAAAAGTTTTCTTCCATTATTTCTTCAAACATGTTCTCTATTCCTTGTTCACTTTATTCCCTTCTGGCACTCCTATTATGCAAATATTGTTATGTTTCATATTGTCCCACAGCCATCTTCCACTGTGTTAGCATGTAAAGAATTATTAGTTAGGCTGTAAAGAATTATTAGTGCTATGTCATTCTTCATAGTTACTATATCTTTTCTCATGCAGTAGAGTATCTTTACCATCATTACTATGAACCCCATGTCTGATAAATTTCCTATCTCTATTTCAATAATCTCCTCTTCTAGAGAATTCTCTTGTTCTTTTGTTTGGGGGTTGTTTCTTTGTCTCCCCATTTTGGCTGCCTGTTTTATGCTTTCTAGTATGTATTAAGTAGATCTGCTACACCTCCCAATCTCTAGTGCAGGACAGTGTCAGACGCTATTTCTGACTGGCCCTGAGTACCCTGTTTGGAGCTATCAGCCATGCAAAGCTTTAATGTCCTCTACAGTGTGAGAGAATGACTCAGGATAGGAAACCATGGTGTCTGCCTTCCAAGGTCTAACCCCAGAGCCCTGAACCCTGGCTTCTGCTCACACAGCCCCAGTCCACTCTGTCTTCTCTCTGTTAGAGCTCAAGGTGAATGGCTGTACATGAAATTTTGTGTGTTGGCCCTTTAAGAGGTGCCTGCATTTCCAGCCATCTCTCCCTGGCAAACAGCAACCCTGCTGGTTTTCACAGCTAGATGTTATGTGGGCACCTTTCTCAGTTTTGACGTTCTTGGCTGAGGAGCCCAATGTGTGGTTTAGACCCCATAGTTTCAGCGTGAACTCTGAGATATCCCTCCAGAACTTCAGCTGCTGTCTATGGGAGCCTGGCCAGCCCTTTCGGGCTGCCACACCCTCTACCAGTCTCTATGCAATTTCCACTTTCCATCCTTGGTTACCAGGGTTCTCTCCAACGAGTCTTCAGTTGATTATTCAGGATGTCTTTTTCTGTGTTTTAATTGCAATTCCAGTTTGGTCCTGGAAACGTGTCAGTGTAGCTTCCACTTACTCTTCCATTTAGGAACCTCCATAGAGCCTTCTTAATGCTCTACACAGGGCGCTTTGGTTGTCCATCCTGAGAGCTGGAGGTCTGGACCGTGTCTTTCTGTCCACAAGACCCACATAAAGTATCCATCAGGGAAGCACCAAGCATCCCCTGATCTGGGCCCCAACCTGCTGGAAGGCCCCAGAGAAGGCCAATGTGCCTCAAAGTCAAAGCATCAGCCCCCTTAATGATACACTTCCCAAGAACACATAGCTGTGTGATCTGCTGTAGGTCATGGCACACAGAGTGGCCTCCGCTCCCATGGTGGCCCCAGGCTTGTCCACGGCACTCTGTCCATTCTTTAGGAGATATGTTCTATATCACCAAAGAGCTTTTGATATCTTTTAGTTATATTAATAACTAATTTTTTTTAGCCACTCCCTCTAATGACACTTAAACTTCATTTTCCTGTTTTTAAGACATACTTAACACATTCCCAGAATTTATACCCGAGATAATCAGATTTATGTCTTTAAAGTGTCTTAATTGCACTTGACTATTTAAAAAGGGTTTTTTTTTTTAAGAAATGTCATCTTTTTAAAAATATATACTTATTGATTTCAGAGAGGAAGGGAGAGGGAGAGAGAAATAGAAACATCACTGATGAGAGAGAATCATTGATTGGCTGCCTCCTGCATGCCCCCTACTGAGGATTGAGTCCCCTACCCGGGCATGTGCCCTTGGCAGGAATCAAACCTGGCACCCTTCAGTCCTCAGGCCAGTGCTCTATCCACTGAGCAACACCAGCTAGGGCTAGAAATGGGTTTTATAGGCTCTGGCCAGGTAGCTCAGTTGGTTGAGCCTCATCCAGATTCACCAAGCTTGTGGGTTTGGTCTCTGGTTAGGGAACATACAAGAATCAACCAATGAATGCATCAATCAACAGTTCTCTCTCTCTCTCTCTCTCTCTTAAATCAATACATATAAATAAAAATGGGTTTTACAGAACTTCATACACTACAGGGAATTATTAAGCACATCATGGCATACAGAGGGCTTTTGCTTAGCTATAGAGGCCTCCCCAGATGGTGAGGATGGAAAGAGGCCGGAGCTATCACATCAACATGTTAATCTCCACGGCACTGTGTTTTTAAAGCTTTAAAAAAATAAATAAAGGATTAGGGATCACACAACGCTAATGAATACATCCTTTGCTTGAGTTAAAGAAATATATATCTATTTTTTTGTGGTTTCTCTCGCCTCCATTCTCTTCCTAGAGCCTGTGCCTTCCAAAGCTGAGATCACTAAAAAAGAGTGCTCCTAATATAACCCGAGTCTGGGCAGAAGGCAGACAGCCTTCAGGATAATAAAATACAGGAGATATGCCAACAGCCCCAGATATCTGATCTATGGGCGGAGCTCCACCTGGCGACCAGATGATGGTGTGGCCGCCTTCCACCCCACCTGCGGGCTCTGAGGCTCCCCCAACCCTGTCTCCAGCACTGGGTCTGGGCAAAACAGAGAAACCCACTCCAAAGGCCCAGCCTGGGGTGTGCACCCAAGGTCCTGGCCAAGGGCAGCCATGTCAGGGACAAGGTGAGGGATGAAAGGACCAGGCTGAGGGGGTGGACAGGATGATGGGGAAGAGTCCCAGGGAGGACTCCTTCTGCTTATGCACCAAGCGGGGTTATTTCAGACTGAGCACGAGCGTGGGAGAGACACTGAGAAGACAGACAAATGCGATTGTCCATAAAGGGTTCCCTAGCCCAGCTGGCATGGCTCAGTGGTTGAGCATCAACCTATGAACCAGGAGGTCACAGTTCGATTCCTGGTCAGGGCACATGCGCGGGTTGCAGGATGCCCAGTGTGGGGTGTGCTGGAGGCAGCCGATCAATGATTCTCATCATTGACATTTCTCTCTCTCTCTCTCCCTTCCTCTCTGAAATCCATAAAAAAATATTTTTTAAATAAAGAAATAAATAAATGTCCCTAAAACTGTAGGACCAAGGCCTGCGACCCAGAAAATGGTACATGGGATTGAATTGCATAGACCAGATCCCACCCGCGACCCCTTTCTATTCCAAACAGATCATCTCTGTGACTTGGACATAAAGTTAAGAACTGATTGACGGAGGTTTTCGGGTGAACAAGGCAGACATCACACGTGTGCATCTCCACCTCTTCCCCAGATGGCCTACCAGGACACTCGCGGCCTGAGAGAGGGAGTGAGGGAAGAGGTGGCAGATGAGAGACGTCCACCTCGTTTGGGGAAATTGAAAACAGTTAAGTATGTGGTGCTGACTGCCGTGGAAGCAGAAATCTGACTGCCTGTAAAGGGAGCGAAATGGAAAAAACAGATTTGGGGTGCAGACGCCCGCACGGGCACCTTCAAAGAGGAAGAATGGGTGGGTTCGGCGGGAAGCAGACATTGTTGAAAGTCTGAATGGGGAGCGGTGGGACCCCGGAGTTCAAGCCCAGGCCAGGCAAGCAGGGGATGACCCCACCTGTCTTTGCAAAAGACAGGAGACTCATTCTCCAGGGGCTGGGCCAGAGAATCCCTGGCACAGAGCGGAGAGTAAAGCCAGCTTCGAGGCCCTTCCCCTGCCAGCCGGCTCTGAGAACACAGGCTCCGGGAGGGCTGTCCCCAAGGGAGCAGCTTGGAACTGAGAGGCGAGTTGACCTGTTCGCATTAGAGAAGCGTTTTAGAATGTTTGGGGCTGAATCAGTGATGATTATTTGCTATAAAACTAAGTGAACCTTGCCCGGCCAGCGTGGCTCAGTGGTTGAGCATCGACCTACGAACCAGGAGGTCATGGTTTGATTCCTGGTCAGGGCACATGCCTGGGTTGCAGGCTGGATCCCTAGTGTGGGGGGTGCAGGAGGGAGCCAATCCATGATTCTCTCTCATCATTGATGTTTCTATCTCTCTCTCCCTCTCCCTTCCTCTCTGAAGTCAATAAAAATATATTAAACTGAAATATATATATATATATTAAACACTCACACACCAAAAAAAAACCACAAAAAAACGCACACAACTAAGTGAGCAAAAATGGTAATAATTATAAATGGTACAATAGGGAAATAAAGTCATAATACATTACAGGTTATACCTGTGGACAATACTTGTACAGCCATTATAAATGAGGATCCAAATATTAATTTGACAAATAAAGCTATGATATAACTATATGTGGAAGATGGGGGCCCCTGGTTTGGAAAATAAAATAGGATTGCGATAATAGCAAGTCAATAGGTGAGTTCTAAAATTTTAACAATCCTACCTAGAGATATAAGTGTGTTGTAGAGAAACATCAAGGTTTAAGTCCTTTCCTCTGAGCGGTGGAGGTGGGGAGCAAAAGGGGTGTATCATTTCACATTGAAAATTATGTGTACATATTGCTTCAGTAAGGAGTAAATTGCATTTCGGAAGGAAATTTGTTGAACATTATTTTTTTATTTTTTAAATCTTTATTGTTGAAAGTATTACATAGGCCCCCTTTTTTCTCCCACTGACCCCTTATAGCCTACCTCTGCCCATTCCAACCCCAGGCCCTCACCCCCCTCTTATCTGCGTCCATGGGCTATGCAATATGCATACAAGTTCTTTGGTTGATCTCTTTCCACCCACCCACCCCCATCTTCCCTCTGAGATTCAACAGTCTGTTCCATGCTTCTATGTCTCTGGATCTATTTTGTTCGTCAGTTTATTTTGTTCATTAGATTCCACATATGAGTGAGATCATGTGATGCTTGTCTTTCTTTGACTGACTTATTTCACTCAGCGTAATACTCTCCAGGTCCCTCCATGCCATCTCCTAGGTAAGAGATCCTTCTTTTTTGGTTGTTGTTTTTTTGTTTTTTAAATCCTCACCCAAGGATATTTTTCCATTGATTTTTAGAGAGACGGAAAGACAGAGAGAAACATCCATGTGAGAGAAACACATGGGTTGGTTGGCCGGGGAAGAGCCTGCAACCAGGTATATGCTCTTGACTGGAATCGAAGCAGGGACCCTTGGGTCCACAGGCCGATGCTCTATCCACTGAGCCAAACCGGCTAGGGCAAGAGATCCTTCTATTTCACAGCTGCATAGTATTCCATGGTGTAAATGTACCACAGCTTTTTTTATCCATTTGTCTACTGCCATGTACCACAGCTTTTTTATCCATTTGTCTACTGCCAGGCACTTGGGCTGTGTCCAGATCTTAGCTATTGTAAATTGTGCTGCTATAAACATAAGGGTGCGTATATTTTTTCTGATTGGTGTTTTGAGTTCCTTCAGGATCGGTGGGTCAAATGGCAGGTCCATATTTAATTTTTTGAGGAAACTCCATACTGTTTTCCATATTGCACATTCTTTAGAATTAGGTGTGTGCATGCTCGTGGTTGAGAGGGGATTGGTCCAGCCCTCTGCTCCCCCTAATCGCCAGAGATGTGTCAATTTCTTCAGAGTGTAAGAGAAGTATTGGAAGAGAGCTGAACATGAAGCCAGCCTCGCGGGTGACCCGTCGGGCGGATTTGTTTTGCTGGCTCGTTGGGCTCATACTTCCCACCAGTTACAGGCACAGCTATTGGGGACCATACAATGCCTTGCTATGCCCATCCGAATTCCATAACACTGAGCAGAGAGGTGCCCGCCTTGCACAGGTGGCTGCTAAGCAGGATGGTTTTCAGGGGCTCAAGCGGCCCCATCACGCATGGTATGTTGCCTGGAGGGGAAAAGCGATTCTGCACAAACAGCAATGCTGTCTGGGCTCGAGCTACAGGAAGGCACCAGAGTTGGGAATAGGTGCCTCAGCTGAGGCCTGAAGCATATCTTATTTTGCAACATAGAACATGCTTCCCACACAGACCTCAGAGCAGATGGCAGGGAGATGGCCCACAGGAGCTACTGGGGGCAGCGTTCCTGTGTCGTGCACCTAGAGACATGGCCATCCACCCGTGAACAGAGCCAGGTGTCACAGGCACTGGTGCCGTGGTCCAGCAGACCTCTGAGTGCTTCCTTCGTGTCTCCATGGTGTGTCTTTCACTCTTCAGTTGTAACCCATACATATGTCTTTATTTTAAAGTGGGTGTCCTGTAGCTCACATGTCATTTTTTAAAAAATATATATTTTTGTTGATTCCAGAGAGGAAAAGAGAGTGGGGGAGAGAGATAGAAACATCAATGATGAGAGAGAACCATTGATCGGCTGCCTCCTGCACGCCCCCTACTGGGGATTGAGCCTGCAACCCAGGCATGTGCCCTTGACCG